AAGAGAGATGAAAGGAGGAAGTCAGAGAGCACTTTCTTGAGGAAATGACATTTCATCTGAAAAAACACAGGATGAGTTCATTTAACCAAGAGAACCACCAGAGGCAGCTTCTCAAGGAAGTTGGCTCTGATCTGAAAGACTTTAGGCAATTACCCTTTTCCAAAGTAACCCCGTTGTTTTTTCAAAACTAATTCAAATGTTCCTTTGTGGCAATCTGTTTTACTCATAGTTTCCTTTTGTCTTTAGCCAGTGGCAATTCATTTGCTTATGTTGCTTATGAACAGTATATACTGCTAGAGTAAAATGCTGGGATTTAGATGATCCATGCAACCAACAACATTGTGATCTTCATGAGCTCATAACATAACCAAGATCTGATTGGCTGAACTTGACTTTGGTCTGCTGGATCTGAATTTTAAGCCAAGCTGACATTTACAATGCTTTTGGTTGTTGTAATCACTTCTGTATTTCATGGTTTATATAATGCATAAATTTTTATTTCTCCTAAGAAAATACTGAACAAAATCAGTTTGAAAGAATAAATGAACCCAAACACTATTTTGAAAGTGTTTACTACAGGTCAGGTAAAGCCCATAGCCTCAGAGACTCTTGAATCTTTGAGATCTGAGAACTTCTTTGAGAACTGAGACCTCTTACCACAGATTTTGCATTAAAGGAGATGACACTTGGTGGAACAGACTCTGAGTGCTTATTAGATACTCGGCATTGTTCAGCTTATAATGTTCAATTTGGTTCAGTAAGAACCCATTCGACATTCTGTTCTATGTCACAATTGCGGTAAGAATTTCCAGTATATCTGGCATGTTATGTTAAAGTTTTCTTATAATAACTGTAATTATTATTATAATAATGATAGCAACAATTATTTATTGAGGAGTCATGATGTGTCAGATGCTGTACCAAACACTGCATGGATTATCTCATTTAATTCTCATGAAAAACCTAAGAAGTTGCCATCAAATTCTCCTGAAGAAAAAAGTGACAGTTGGTGTCTTAGTCACTTTCTCAATACTGGGACCAAACACCTAACACCCACAACTTAAAGGGCCAGACGTTTATTTTGGCTTTCAGTTTTTAGAGAATTCAGTTCTTAGGTGGCTCCAAAGCCGGGAGGACATGATGGAAGATATGGCTGAGGAAAGCTACTTGTGGAAAGCAGGCAGAGAACTAGAGAAAGGGAGACCTGGGAGGAATATATATCCTTTCAGGTTGTGCCACAGGTTACTCACCTCCAATCAGGGCCCACCTCCTAACAGTAAATCAGCTACCTTACCAATCACCTCCCAAACGCCCACCTTTGAACACATGCGTCTTTTGGAGGACAATTCAGATCTAAATCATAACATTTAGAGATGTTTAGAAGACTTCTCATGACCACACACATACTAAGGATAGGCCTCACTTACTAGACCATGACTTGGATTCAAGACCTAACACTACACTATATTTTCTTCTTTTCACATTGGTCTATCAGTTTTCAGACAATGAAATCCTAAATTAGAGAGAGTAAATGATTTGCCTGAGGTTACACTGACATTTTGGAGCCTTATATAATTTCCTTGAGAATAGTAATAATATCTATGAGTTGGTGAGAATTTTCTATGTGGCTGGAATAGTATTTTAAAGTTTCTAATTCAAAGGTACTCAACTTTGTCTAGTGTTAAGAATAATTGGAATTTTAAATAAGTAGGTGCCCTGCCCATGCCTCACCAGAATAATGGAATCAGTGTCTCATGGACTAGGACCTATGGTGGGAAGCTTTTTTTTTTTTTTTTTTTTTTTTTTTTTTAAGTTTCCCAGGTGATTCTGATACACTGAGAGAATGAAAATCTACAGCCTTGATTCTCACAGTACTTCACAGGTTAGAAAACGGCTTAGCAAGGTACAAATAACAGAAAAATTACTTGTGGTTACCAGCAGTAAGAGCTAGTGGGAAGGGAACTGTTGAATAGGTGGAGAACAAAAGAACTTGGACCAGTGAATATGCTCTGTATAACCTGTCACAGTGGACGCATCTCATACAATTGTCCAAACCTATAGAATATATGGTGAGGATGAAAACTAATGTGAACTACAGACAATCGGTGATAATGATATGTCCAAACAGTTCATCCATTGTAACAAACGTACCGTTCTGATGGGTAGGCTATGCGGGATGGAGGTTATATAGGAAATCTCTGTACCTTCTTCATAATTATGTGGTGATCCTATGTTATTCTTTAAATACGACTTTAAAAATGTAAAAAGAACAGACTTGAAAAGTCAAATCAAACATCAGAGGCAAAAGGAAAAATCATGAAAAAAATGTGATCAATCATTAGCAGAGAGGTTGAAAAGACACGCTCCAATTGCTTTAAAAAGTCACAGAGCACAGGTCTCCTTAAAATAGTTTTTCAAAGTACGCTGAGAATTCCATGTAGTAATGTGAAACATAAGTCCCACTGCTGCCACTGAACATGTTTCAGTTGGCTAAACCAGAGGAGCTTGACATGAACCCAAGGCTCTGTAAAACTCAACAGGAGAGCTCAATGGAGACACAGATGCGGTTGCAAAGCTGCCCCAGATGTGTACATGTTCTGCTTCATTAAAATGACTTGGATGAGAGGCAAAGTACATTTGGCACACAGAAAGGCAGAGTCAGGGGAGGGGCAGGACAGGACAGTCAGGCTCATCGCAGGCCTCCTTCTCCTGAGACCTGCATTCCTTCCAGTCCTGCTTCTCACTGCTCCTAGAGCAAATGGCCTAGAGTGAAAATATGACCACAAGCTCCCAGAGCTATGGTTTTTCCGTAAGTCTTGATTTTCTTGGCCTTTGGAGGATGCCATGTGAAATCAAGATCATGTATACATAGCACCTGACACACATAGATTATAGTAAGCTTTAGAGGACAAGTAGATGTCCCAGTTGTTCTCACTGACCAGGTCCTGTGAGGAGAGACAGGTTGAGGAAGTGAAGATATCTGGGAAGAAAACAGGTGACTGCCTGGGGGAAAGAATACTCAATTTCCCTGTAATTGGAGGACTGGTTTGAGACTCTTGGTGAGTCTAGTATGCCAGGTCCAAGGTGGAAGTTTCTGTCTCAGTGCCTCAGAAAACCTTGCTAACAATTAGAGTGTGCAAAAGTTAAGCAATGGGAGTAAACATTCTGACATTAGAATTGTATAAAAGGCATGTGAATGATCATTTGTCAGGAATGCTGAAGAGGAGATTTGGTTGAACTTGATGTTTTTAATTGCATCTTCGAGTCTGGAATCTGTATGTTGGAATTATCTTTCCTTGCCAATTGATGAATCACAAACATCTTGAGTTTCTGCAGTGTATAAAGCCCGGGCTTATGTCTCTGGGTCAAGGAAAAGGTACTGTATACTCAGTTTTCACCAAGGGGGAAGGTACAGTATGGCACAGAATTCTTCATGTGTTTGTGTCAGTAGACTGAATGTTCGAGCCACACAGGAAGTAGAAACTGGATGTCTTTCTGCTGCGGCCCATGAGTATCTCTGAGCATTTAGTGCCAGCTATTATTTCTCTATTCTGTGGACCTATATGTAAAATGTATTTGACTCTGTTTACTCTGCTAGTATCATCATCCATCATTTATTTATTTTTTCTTTTGAGGTTCTTAGGAAACAAAATTTCTGCCTTATGATAATAATTTACAATGTATTGTGTAAAGAATTTGTTTGAACCTTGGAGTGTGATAATAATTAACACGTTCATGAATATGTTGTCTTAAGAATGGAATCTGTGTTTTGCCCTTGAGTCACTGGGAATGGGAAAGTCAGAGTTGGGATTCAACTCCAACTCTAAAAAGGAGGAACAGGCTTTTAAAGAAAACCACACAAGAGGTTTGTTATTTATGCATCTTTGTATCTCTCTACAATACCTTTTACCTGTAACACTTACTCCAAGCCTTGTGCTGGGTTCTTGGGATGCTAATTTTACTAGTATTGATCCTCGGAGAACTCTCTTTCTAGTGAAAGAATAAAGGGGCCTGGGATAAAATAGAAAGAGACAGGCTTCTGCCCGAGTCCTATGGGTGTTTAAGAGAGCTTGGCAAAAGTTTCACATGGGAGCTGATATTTGAGTTGGTTTTCAGGGTAAGTCAAGATCACTGTGTACTTAGGGAGGAAAGGTTGGGACCTGTTGAAACATGCTATCTCATTTATAGCATGTTCTGGAGTGTACCGTGTCCAGGAAGAAACTGAGAGATGAAGCTGGTCACATAGTTTGGAATGACTCTCACTTAGATACAGAGGAGGTTAACCATGGTAGTACCTGAAATCATTTTGTAAATATGGTCTGCAGTCTCATGGGCTTTCATTAAATATTTTCATCTCTGCATGATCCATCTTGTGAATTATCAGAAATCTTGCTGCACATTACTTTCCCTTGATCACCATAGGAATGTATTCTTAAAATTAAAAACTCATTTAATATCAGTCAAAGTAATGCATAATCAGGAAGATAAATCTGGAATAAACAGAGTGGCTCCTCTCTTTTCTATAAGTGTGTGGCAGAAGACAGGACTAACATCTGTATCAGAACAACTAGGAATCATGTTTGGGTGGCTTTGCGTATGTACCAGTGGGTTGATTTAGTGCAACTTGATCTGACATGTACATTTGTATCTGGGTTGATCTGATCTGTACATTTATCTTTATTGACTGTATTCACCTTTATAAAGTGTACCCCAGATCCCAGTGAAATAATTTTGGAGTTTTGGTTTATCTTCATCATTAGTGCAACTGATCTGAAATGTGAGTATAGTGTTCTAAACATTTTTAATGCTTAATGTTTTTTGATTAAGTAGTAATTCTGCGTTGTGGAAAATAGTAACAAGAATATAAACATAAAGAATAAAAGGGAGTTAAGAGTACAAAAGTAAACAAAATCACCTATAATACAAAAAACTCAATCACTATTAGCATATTGATATACTTTTATTTCTTGTTACAGGTTAAATTCATTAAATTGACTTTATAAAATACTACATTTAATGGCATCTACCACTTCCATTAAACATTCTTCTATAAGAACACTTTTCTCCTATCATCTCATTACTTACGTTTTCTTGCTGCTCTCAGAATAGACCGTAAAGGTTTTAAGGAGCAGGCAGGTGTATCCTTCATGCAATAACCTAACTTTGGTTAGTTCTGCTACACTAACAATGCAAGATCCATCAGTCCAGGTTTTTGTCCTGTTTTTCACCTCTCTGATTCCAGTTCGCAGCCAGAATTTGGCATGTAGTGTGTATCCAATGAATACTGGTTGCTTGAATAAAAATGAATGGATATGGATTTTTATTTATCCTTCTTCTTCACCCAAAGTTCTTTAAGCCTCTCCTAAATGTCAGGTCTAGGTTGGAAAATGGAATATAAGTAGTCATAGGTGATAAAAAAAAAAAAAAAAAAAAAGCCCAGCCTCTCAGGCTACAAGTGCAGAGACCAGTCAAACTCTTTTGCTTGGCGTGCATGGCTCGGGTCAGGGGTAAACAAGGTTCTATCTGTTATATTACGGCAAAGACTGCTTTTCAATAGAGTATGTTACTGAACTCTGAAGGTACTCAAGAAACCCCTAGTCTTCACCAAGGGACCTTGGAGCCTTCCATTGCCATCTCCATCCCAGTTGGTCTCTGCTCAGGGAAGAGGGATATCTGAATGGAGAAAGGGCCACTGTTACCATAAGAGAAAGCAGCTCTCCACAACGCACTGGTCCAACTGGAAAACCCAGCTATGTCCAAGTTCTGGCCAAAACTAGTTTGGCAGCAGCTCTGGGGGAATGTTTCTGCCTGACTGACCCTACGCACGGTGGTGCCAACAGTTTTGGGGAAAAAAAAAAGAAAGAAAAAGAGGAAGAAAGAAAGAAAAGGAGGAGAAGAAGAAGAGGAAAGAAAAGAAAAAGGGAAACAGGAGGGGAAGGACTAAAAGAGTTGAAGAGGTTGGCTACATCGGAAACACTCCAAAGTTCTGCTTCTTGGAAGCGCAAGTTTACACTTTAAGATTCAACAAGCCTCGCCGGTCCGCCAGTCCGCCAACCAACCTCCCGGCCTTCATTCCCTCACACACCCTCTTCCTGGCAATACGTTTTTGTTGTATTACAATTTTTTTTTTTTATTGCAATTGTTGAAGCTATACCATCCTGGCCACAGCGCGAATTTCAGTCAGTGTTTCGCGCTCTCCCCTTGCAATGCTATTATTAGTATCATTAGTATTATTAATTGCAATTGAATCTCTCCGCTCTTTCTCTTCCCTACTTGAATCGCACTCCGGCTGTGATTGCTCGGGTCTGACTTTGCAAGTGGCGGTGCGCTTCCAAACCCCCTCGTCCGCCCCTCGCCCCCCTTTCTCCCCTCCCTCCCTTTTCCGTGCCCAGGCAAGAGCAGCCGATTGGCAGAGCGGTGCTTTCAGGAACAATAACAGTGGGGGGAGCCCGGGTCCCGGGGTGCCGCGCCCCCCCAGCCCGGCTCCCCTGCACGGTCCGTGCCCCCAGCGGGGTGCTCACCTCTGCGCCCGCCCCGCGGGCTGACCGAGCGGACCGGGCCCGCCCCCGCGCCCACCATGTACGCCTTTGTGCGGTTCCTGGAGGACAACGTCTGCTACGCGCTGCCGGTGTCTTGCGTGCGCGACTTCAGTCCCCGCTCACGGCTGGATTTTGACAACCAGAAGGTGTACGCTGTGTACCGGGGCCCTGAGGAGCTGGGCACCGGGCTCGAGAGCCCCCCGCGCGCCCCGCGCGACTGGGGCGCGCTGTTGCTCCACAAGGCCCAGATCCTGGCGCTGGCAGGTGAGTGAGCGGGCGGGAGGGACTGGGGACCCGCGGGGTAGGACTTGGGTAGCCCGGGTGCCAGGGGCGGAGGGGCCCAGAGCAGCCACTGCTTGCTCCTGCCTCCTTCTCTGGAGCCTTGGGCTTTTCTTTGAAGGACACAGGGTGATTCTAAGAGGCCAGACCAGTTAAAAAGACTAGAGGATCCTTTTGTCTTCTTCCTTAACACTCCCATGTTGTCAGTCTGCCTTCATTTCTCGGTCTGTCTATCCTCTTTCTGATTCTTTGTATTCACCCAGCGCTCACTTTCCCTTTCTCTTCCTGCCTGTCTGTACCCTCATAGTTCTCTCTGGTCTTTGCTTTACCTCTTCCTTCCTTCTCTTACCCCTTTCTTGTTCTTTAAGTTTCTTAAGCTGTCTGTCTCTGTCCCTTTAAGGCTCTTGGTGTTCTCTTTGCATGAGGAGCAAGGCAGATATTGTTAGATCTAGGTGAGAGTCCCTCCTTACAGAAGTAATCTGTGACATGCTTGTCCCATCTGGACTGTCACTGGACTGGATGAGGAGGCCATGGACCTCAGCACGCGGAGACACCACTCCCCTGCCCTTTTCTGGCCAGGTGGCACAGGTAAGGAAGTACAGGCCTGAAGGCCACCTTTACACTCCACACCCCTTTTTTAGTCTGTCAGAAGGATCTCTTAGTGAGAGCCGTGTTTCTAGGTCAGGTTAAGGCTGAACCTCTCTTCTCTGCTCACCCAGGGCTTGGGAGATGTGCAAGGCAGGTGATCTTCTCCTCATTTGGCAAATGAGGATACTGAGGTTCAGTTGGTGGTAATACAAGACCACTTTTTAGCCACCTGCACTGTTGTAACTGCTACAGACACCTCTTCTTTTGTAAAGAGAAGGTAGCTGGCCTTATTTCCTAGCTAGTTCCAGGAAGCTTGGGTGTAGACATGCAGGGAAGAAGATGGTATCTTTTAGCTGCTACTGCTGCTAAGAAGAATGTGCCCTACAGTGAGCAGAGATAGCCAGTTACCTTCGCTTTCCACCTGGAAGAGGACACTAGAGCTTAGAACCTGAATGAAGACATTGTCAGTATTTTGTACTTTTGAGGCTTTTTCTATTGTTTTTCTTTAGCCTAAAATGTGAACCTACCATGTATCATAATGACTTCCCTAGTGTCCCAGGAGAGGTTAGTTCAGCCTCAGGACTCAAATTTATTCCCACCAGCTTACACTGCCTCTGAAAAGTAGAGTTGTGGGAGTTGAGGAGTAGATGAACTAGAAGCCCTCTAACACCATCCCCTGGGCTACTTACCACCTCTGAACTTTAAGGCTTTAGGGCCACCCATCACTCACACATGGGGCTAGAAAAACTGAGGGAAGGGAAGTAGGTTTCAGGAAAGGGAATCCTTCATATCTCATTAGGTTTTCTTTTGTTTTCATGCTTTTAATTACCTGAAAAGGGATTAGTTATTTATGCCCCAAGAGGATAGACCTGAAGAAATTATAACTAGGTTGTAAGATGGTACAACCCTTTTGCTAGGGGAAAAAACAAAAAGGATGCTTTCTTTTGTGTCACGTTCCTAGCTCTGGAAGGACCCTAGGGGAGTGGAAAGGATGTGTGTCAGAGGAAGTCAGTGGTCAGGCCTTAGTATATGATGGCTGTTTGTCTTCATCCATTCAGCAAATGTGTATACACTGCGCATCACTGTTCAGGCGCTGCAGAGACATCAGTTAGGCAGCTGACAGCCTCCAACTTTGATTTTAAAATCAACACAAACCTCATAAGTAAGGTACATATAGTTACTGGTCTAAAATCCATGAATTTTGAACCTATAATTTATTCATTCTTCAAGTGGAAATGTTCATAAATCTTTGAGGTTATTTTAGATAAACAAACAAGCAAGCAAGTAGGCAAAACTTGGCAACATCTAGACATTAGCAGAGCAGATGCAGAGAAATGTAGTGCTAGTTTGAGCAGTGTGCTTCTTCCCACCTCTCTTGAGTTCTTTTCTTGGGAGGAGAAGGAAAAACAAAAGACAACAACTTCAGGCTGGCAAGGCCACATTTGAAAGTCCAGTCAACTGGTTAATTTTTAAATTGGAGCTGCTGTCCGAGTACAGACTTGATTGGGAGGGCCCAGGTGGGCTTGAGAATTCATTTGTCCTGAAGAACTCTCCTGGTGTGCCTTGAAACCCAGTGTTGATTTTAAACCGTGTGACTCTTGAGAATTGCTTGCCATGACTTCATCTTCAGGAGTTCATTTGCCATCTGTTAAGTGGAGCTATGGCGGAGCTGGTGCACCAATGTAAGGAGGTGACTCCTGGAACAAGGCAGAGGTGGCTTTATGTCTGTGGATTACCATTAATTAGTTACTTACTCTCTCTTAGCAGGCAATAACCATGGTTTTAGGAGTAGTTTCGGTGTCTCTTTATGGCTTTCAGTGAGAAATATATTACTCTGCTTAGTATTTGCCCAGGGAAACCAGACCTGTCTTGAAGTGTACATCTCCTTATACCAAGGAAATGTCAAAGCCAACTGCTATGAAATTTTGAACACTACAGCCCTACATGGCTTACACCATTATCTCAGTGTGTGTCAGCCTCTGGTATGTGGCTCTTTGTTTTTTTTTAACCAAATTACAGTTGCAGTTCAAGGAAAACCAGTAAAGCCACATCTTTATTGATACTCTTATTATGTGGCTGTGCATTTTCTCTGTTAGTCCTCTCAGTGATTCTTTGTTAAATACTTCGTGATTATTATTTTCATCTTATAGGTAAGGATGCTGAGGCTCAGAGGCTTGCCTGTAGCCTCACAGCTAATACATGACAAAGCCAGACATGGAACCCAGGTCCTGCATTCCAGGCCTCTGTTTGGCAGTCCCCTTTGTAAAGTTGTTGATGTTCTCATCAACCACACAGCATAGCATGGTTGTCAAAGGAGCAAAAGGAAACGAAAAGCCTTCCACGAAGCTTATAACTCAAGCCAAGTTTTCAAGTCATAGGAATGTTAGATTCTGAATTTTCTTCTGCTCTTCTCCTTCTTCTAATACCAGCCTCCCTTCTACAGGGAACACACACTTCCCCACCCAACCCTTGTGTTGTCATTTACTGGAGGAAATTCTCTCATGGCTCCTGACTGCCATGCTATGGAAAGTCCACGTAACTCAAGGCTTGACTCACCACTGAGCCATGGTCTCTCCTTACTCATATTTATTTTCCAAGCAAGTTGTAAATGTGAGAAGCACCTGCTTAAGAGCTCACCCTAATCTAACTGCAACCCAGCCTGCTGGTGATATTAAACTCTGTGTTTTCTAGGGGCCAAAACTTGTCCTTCTGAGCTTAAAGTTCTAAATTCTGAATCGCTTTTTCTGGATGCTTATAGTATGTCATTATTGCACTAAGTTCCCTTTGTGGCCAAGTGTCTCCTTACTCTTCCTATAGGCCAGGCCCAGTGCTGTAGTAAGTCAGTCACCAATTCTAACGCACTGTAATTGAAATGACAGCATGACCAAAGGGAGACGGGGTGCATTTTTCCAGCCCTGCTGTTGGGAGGAAGGGGCAGAGTAATCAAGAAGAAATGGGCACTATCCTCAGGGAGTATGTAGTTTGGAGGCCCCAACTAAAGTGTTAAGCAGGATGAAGCCATGCCCTGGAGAACACAGAGTAGGGGACAGTTTCGGGTGGGTTTCTAGGTAAGTTACCCTTTTCCAGCTCCACTAACACTACCGTCACTTGGGCCTGCTTCGGGTCTTATTCATCTGAACCAGAGCAGAAGCCTTCAGTTGATCACTCTGTCTCCAGTATATTTTACAAACTGCTTTCAGAATAATCTTATAAATCACTATTTGTCAATTGACTATTCTCCTTAGGACCTTCTATAGCTCCCTATTGCTTGCTGAATAAAACTTCAGCTTCTCCTGGTATTGATAACCTTATAGATTGCCTCACCCACCCTTATCCTTTGGCTAGACCTGTGATGTTTCTTGCTATTCTGTAAACATAGCCTTGTGCACTCCTCTGAGCCAGCTAGGATGGATTAATCATTGTCTGATATGAGGCTACTGCCTAAGTGGAGCTTGCCTTCCCACAGGGAAAGCAGAGTTTGAGGTCTTACACTCTGAGGGCTCTGGACAATGTATAGGCAAAGTACATTGGGAGAATGCCTCTGAGGCATTCTCTGTTCCTCCCTTGATCCCCCCCCCCCCCCAGAACTCTTCTCACTTTGCTTGTTTCTTGTATATGGGCTTTCTGACTGTCAGTTGGTAGTGTTTCTCTCTTTCTTGTAGACAGCACAGAGCCTAGCACATAGTACACACTGATCAGGCCATATTGAACCCATATACTTTGGGAAGACAAGTATATTTTTTATGTTTGGGGAGAGAAACTGGAGGAGACAGGAACCACTGTAGCTGCAGCTTATTTATCTGAATAGAAACCTGTAACGAGATATTAAGGTTTCGTTAAACTTTGTTCATCTGGAAAAAGTCAACATTCTTTATCACTCCCTCGACTACAAGAAAGCCCACACTTAGGGGAAAATAGCTTCCAAAGCCACGTTCTTCTTGCTTCAGTAATTTTAGCTCATTCAGGGCTCAGGTCCCAGCTTGGCATTGTCAGTCCAAATAGATCACTTGCTCCAGAAATGCTTTGGAACTTACACAAAGTTAGCAGCAAAGCAGGGGACTGGCGGATTTCATATGCAAAGATTGTTGCATGTCATCAGTGGGACACTGCCAACTAGAGGCTTTTTTTTATAAGCAAGTGAAAACTTTTAATTTAGGTTTTGACATGTTCTGCTGATATACATGGGAGCAAAGATTGGAACTTGCCTGCTGTCATCTGTTGCAGATTCTCCTGGAATGCTAACCATTGAAGGTTGAGTCTGATGTGTTGGGTTTTTTTTATATTCAAGAACCACATATTTGTTACAACTAAGGAATATGTGCTACAGAGTGCTTCAGAGTTCTGGTTTACAGGCTAGAAGAAAAAATTGTTCCAGGCAAATTGAGGTTTTGCTTTTT